GTTTAATGGTATTACACAGAAACACACCATAATAATACGAATCAAATATGTACTTTATTCGTTTACATTAAATGTCATAAGGTACATTATTCTGATTGGAGCTAAGGGCATACACTATTTAACAACTCCCACTTGCACTTAGGTTCAATCTGGTATAATTCGGAGTCTTGGACTTTCCATGTGTTTCTCAAACACTTTTTGTGTCAGTGGCTTAGTCAATGGGTCTGTTACATTCTGCGCTGATGCTACCTTCTGAATTAGGACGTCCCCTCTTCCAACTATCTCCCACAGTACATGGTACTTCCTCTCGATGTGCTTCGACTTCGAGTGGGCTCGTGGCTCCTTAGCCTGAGCGATAGCTTCAGTGTTGTCACACAACAGTGGAATGGGTGTTGTGTTGGATGAAACTACTCCCAATTCTTGAATGAAATTCTTCATCCATACGGCAGTTTCACTTGCGGCAATGTATTCGGCTTCGGTTGTGGAATTCGCCATGGACCCCTRTTTGCTGTTTTTCCAACAAACAACACACGATCCTATCGTGAACACATACACAGATGTAGACTTTCTATCATCTGGATCTGACTGGAAATCGGCATCAATATACCCCTGGATCTGTAGTGACCTACCATCGAATACCAGACAAAACTCTTTTGTCCAGGTGAAGGAATCAGATATTAATGAAGATGAGGAGGTTGATATTATGATTGTGGAGATGGATTCTGCTTTTAGTGATTCTGATATCTCAGTGGAAGATCTGTGTTTCTTACCAGCAATTCCTTGTCTAAATGTTCCTAAACAGCAAGATTAGTATATTGGAAGCTCATCAAAGTTGGTAGACAGTAAACATTTTGGATCTCCTCTCTCGGAAGAGGGAGCACAGAATGGGCAAGTAACAAATCCTGCTTCAAGTCTGGTAGAAGGTAAATCTATGGTTTTCATGTTTATTGTAACTTTTTACACTCTTGATTTGAGTTGTCTCCTGAACAACTATGAAATATTCATATATTTGATACTCTAATGTTCATCTTAACTACCTGGGCACAATTGTACCATCGCAAACTATGGTACCTAGTTGTACATGGGTTCAGCAACGGAATATTCATATGTTTGATACTTTGATATTCATATGTTTGGTTCCAGGGTCTATCTGTAGAACTTACCCATTTACTTACCCCTACCTGATGGTGCGTCTCTAGTGAATGAATAATGAATTAGTCTAGAAAACAAAAATAAATAATTGATAAACAATAAAAATTAAAAAAAGAAGAAAAGAAAAGTGAAACAAGCTCAATGATTTCCAAGGCAATAATTCTAACTCTCATTTTTTACATTTCCCATTCAATCCTCTTTATTGGATGTTTTATAGCCCTCTTTGTTGGATATTTCATAATGGCTCATATCACCAAGATGTACACCCAGAAATCTGATATAATATACTTGGAAACTGTTTATCCTGTGCTTAGGTGAGTCTCCTTCACTACAATTAATTCTCTATTTTTTTTCAAATGAACATTATTGCAAGTAATAATACATTACTAATGTGTCCTCTGTTACACCTTTTGACTCCCTGTTTGCAGCTTGTTMAGTCTACTATTTCTGCACTTCTTTTTGTTTGGTTGTAATATTTTCATGTGGAGAAAGACCCGTATAAACTACAACTCCAATTTTGAATTGGCCCCCCAAAAAGAGCTAATATACAGAGATGTGTTCTTGATCTGCACCACATCATTGACTGCAGTAATGGGGATTATGCTTGTTCACTTGTTCCTTATTGCAAAAGGGTATTCATAATTCATCGACCTGAGTTCAAGCAATACCTGTCTTTTTGTTATTGGTAATTCTTCTTCTTCTTCTTTTTACATGACACAAAAGAGAAAGACAATTCCTTTTTTGCTGGTTTATTTATGATCCATAATGGGCACATGTTTACATAAACTTAAAGAAGATTAAAATTCTAATACTTTTTTATTTTTACAGATTTTTTTTTATATTGATAGTCTGTCCTTTCAACATCTTCTATCGATCAAGCTGTTTTCGTTTCCTCCGCATGATAAGGAATATCATTCCATCACCTCTTTATAAGGTATGATCATCTTCAAGAAGATTAGGGTCATAGAAGAAAATGAATAGATAAATTGTATTGAAATTTCATTTTCTGGTTAAATTATTTTTTTTCTAAATTTTTGTTACACTTCATGTGACGTTGTCATATTGGACTTCTTCATGGCTGATCAACTTTGTGGTCACGTATATATGTCTAGTGATTCCTTTTTTTAATTTAATTTTTGGTAAAGAGGCTTAATGATCTTTAGTTATTACCCAAACCATAACTAGCCAAGCAAAGCCAATTATTAAAACAAATTAGCATCCATTATTGGAACAGGTGCCACTGCTCAGGAACCTGGAGTATGTTGCATGTTACTACATAACTGGAAGCTATAAAACTAAGGACTATGGATTTTGCACGAGGACCAAACATTACAAGGATATGGCTTATGTTGTTTCCTTCCTGCCTTACTACTAGAGAGCCATGCAGGTTCATTTATTGCTAACATCTCTACCTTAATTAAGTTATTATTTCCAATCTTCTAACTGTTGTTGCTTCTAATGTTTGAATTCCATTGGTTAAATCAATTCTAATTGGGACATAATTTTAATTTGCTTCTCCTTGGGAATGCAGTGTGCTAGGAGATATTTTGATGGACAGATAAGCCACCTTATCAATCTAGGAAAGTATGTATCAGCCATGCTGGCAGCGGGTGCCAAAGTGGCATATGAGAAAGAAGCGACCATTAGATATCTCTATCTAGTTGTGGGGGTGTCAAGTTTTGCAACTGTATACCAATTGTACTAGGACTTTGTAAAGGATTGGGGTTTTCTCTAGTTCCACTCCAAAACCCCCTAGCTATGGAATGAATTGATGCTCTAACGATGGTTATTCGGATGCTCCGACAATGGTTATGAGGAATTGCAGATCTAGAAAGCCTTAATATCTATGTTGAGCCAATAATCAGACCATGGTTATTAGGATGAATGATTAATCAATGTAGTAGGGAAAGGTTAGTTGTATAAGTATATGAAACTCTACTGATTTAAATTATGTATGTAATAATTACTATAGTTATTATTATTGTCATCATTTATTATATTCTCTATATTGTTAATTTATATTTTAAGTGTTGTACCATGTGCAATAATGCATGCATTACCCTAGTCTTAATTTTATATGAAACTTCATGCTACTAGGAGTCTACTCTTAATTACACCTTCTATTACTGATAAGAAATGCCTCATTTTTTATGACTGGTTTATTAAATTTTGATTGTTAAAGGATCAACACACCGCTAGAAGGTCCACACATCAGGATTAATAGGTGGCAACAAGCAGTTGTTGCTCTTGATTCAGCACTTAGTGCATTAATGGAACCAAGAATGACATCTAATAGCTGCTTTGGGGGAACAACTGGAAAACTAGCTTTTCTCACTGACTGATTTGTTCTATGTTGGGCTTCTGGTGACAGACTTGATGAACATTGACACATCAGGAATCCTTGCATTAGAATAGCTTCATAAGAAGTTGGTTTTTCATGGTATAGAAGCCAAAGATGAACAATCCTTGGTTTCCCTGAAACATTGCTTGTAAGGAGTTGCTTCATAATGAGTTGTGATTGAACCATCTTAGTCTGCATTCCCTATTAATCCTTGATTTTCTTTGTTATGAAAGATTTTCATTAATTGAAATCAATTGGAATTTTATGGATAAAGTGTATCGTTTTGGATTTTATGTATATATTCATATAGGTTTTATGTTTTGATTGAATATATTTTCGTACAGGTGTATCAATTGGAATTTTTGTGTAGCAATATTTACACTATATTGCACTTTAGAAAAAAAAAATTGGAACTTTTTAGAGGCGGCCAAAAGTGCCTCTAAATATTAAAGCATATAACTTGAGAGGCAGTCCAAAATGTCATTAAAACATTTTAATTGAGACTTCCTTTTCTTATATTTCTTTTAGAGACACATAAAAGTGTCACAAAATCATTTAGAGGTGTTCAACTGCGCTTCTAAATTGAACTTTTAGAGGCACTTTTAACTACCTCTATACAAGACTTTTAGCGCCAGTGCAATAGAGGCAGTCATATGTGCCTCTAAAAGTCCAATTTAGAGGCGGTTTTATAGTCTGCCTCTAATGCACAACCAAGCGTCTTTGAAACATTTAACGATAGGGCTTTTAGAGGCACTTGCCTGGCCGCCTCCTATTTCATTTAGAGGCATTTTTTAAGCTTTTAGAGGTAGTTATGGCCGCCTCTATAGATGAATTTTTCAGTAGTGCAACTTGGTGGTACATCAGTGTCAGCCTTGGCAGGATAAATCTCTCCAAATCTATCCAACGGTTGTAAAGATTCTAAACTAACACGAGTCTTGTATGTGTCCAGTTTAAGGGTATTACACAGAAACACACCATAATCTCATGAATCAAATATGTACTTTATTCATTTACAATAAATGTCATAATGTACATCATGCTGATTGGAGCTAAGGGCATACACTGTCTAACAAAAATTTTGTCTTTTTGGATTTGGTCACTGATGTGGGTGTTCTCATTGTAGGCATGCCAACATTTTGTCAGCCTAAGTGACAAGATTGGAGTTCTCCATCAGCACTTGAAGAACTCCGAGGAGAAGAGGGAGCGGCTCGTGGTGCGGGTCATTGAGGCCAAGAGTAGCCGAGATTCCACTATCTTGGCCATGCGAGAGGCGCAAGAGTTGAGGAAGGTCTTGGAGGAGGACCTTAAGGCTGGAAAGGATCTTACTTCGGAGTTGAAGGAGGCCTTTAAGAAGGCAGACAAGATGCTGAAGCAATTCGAGCTGAAGCGTGTCCAGTTGGACAAGGCCCTTGTTAGATATTTTTGTATGCCTTTAGCTCCAATTAGTTTTATTGTACTTTTGACAATTAGTGTAAATGAATAAAGTGCATGTTTGATTCATGTTGTGTGGTATGTTTCAGTGTAAGACCCTTAAACTGGACACTTAATGAGACTCGTGCTAGTTTAGAATGTTCACAACCGTTGGATAAGTCTGGGGAGATTTATMCTACCAAGGCTGACCCTGGTGTGCTGCCAAGTGTTGGGGTGGCCTGTCTCAACTACAAGGATGAGACCCAAAGCACATGCAGTGTAGGGTTACTTGAATCTTTGAACCGGACTAGATTTCTAGTATTGCCCTAGACCTTGGTGATTGATGGGCAAAACTGGAAAATTACACCTGACCCCTAGACTCGATTATGATACAGCACTAGGTGTCAGATTGGGTTGTCTTTCATATGCCAATCAGTGACATCCTTAGCGGGGGTCAAAACCTGGGTATGTTGGGACATTCTGAGAATTCATTTGAGTGGGTGATCATAGTGACAGGATCAGCCCCTTTGTCGGACAAAGGTAATGATCTGGGATGCACTCTCTCTACCGGAAACCAAACTGCTGACAGTTGATTTCAATCGTTGAAATTCTATTTTGCAAAATTTATATATAAGATATATAGATATATACGGTTTCAAAATGTTTGCAAATGGTTTTAATTCCCGGGATGTTAGACAGTTTTGTATGCCCTTAGCTTCAATCAGAATGATGTACTTTATGAGTTTATTGTAAATGAATAAAGATGCATATTTGATTCATGTTCCCTTGGTATGTTTTTGTGTAATACCCTTAAACTGGACACTTCATGAGACTCGTGTTAGTTTAGAATGTTCACAACCAGTGGGTCGGTCAGGGGAGACCTATCCTGACAAGGTTGACACT